ACTAATTTTAAAGGTCATGTGATTGCTGAGTGTTACCATTTGGCTGGTTTCATATTTGTGAGGACATCAGCCTCTAAGATCTCATACACATACAATCACACGATATGCTGCTTCTTTCTTAACGACCCAAAAAACTCCACCCAAAAATTCCTAGACACCATAAACAGCTACAGCAAGGTGGCAGTATACAAAATCAACTTACAGAAATCATCAGCTTTTCTATACATCAACAATGAACAAACTGAGAAAGAATATAGGGAAACAATTCCATTTACAATAGCCTCAAAAAAAAAAATCAAATGCCTAGGAGTAAACTTGATGTGAATGACCTCTACAAGAAGAACTACAAACCCCTGAAGAAAGAGATCAAGGAAGACTACAGAAGGTGGAAAGGTCTCCCGTGCTCATGGGTTGGTAGAATCAACATAGTAAAAATGGCTATACTACCAAAAGTAATCTACATGTTTAATGCAATTCCCATCAAAATCCCAATGACTTTTATCACAGAGATTGAAAAATCTACCCTGAAGTTAATTTGGAAACACAAAAGACCAAAAATAGCCAAGGCAATACTCAGCAAAAAGAGCAATGCTGGCGGTATCACAATACCCAACTTCAAACTATATTACAAAGCAATAGCAATAAAAACAGCACAAAAACAGACATGAAGACCTGTGGAACAGAATAGAGGACCCAGATATGAATCCACAGAGCTATGCCCACCTTATTTTTGACAAAGGTGCCAAAAACATACAATGGAGAAAAGACAGCCTCTTCAACAATTGTTGCTGGGGAAAGTGGTTATCTGCCTGCAGAAAACTGAAACTAGATCCATGCCTGTCAAAATGGATCAAGGACCTTAATATCAGACCCAAAACTCTGAAGTTAGTACAGGAAAGAGCAGGGAATACTCTGGAAGCAATAGGAATAGGCAAGGACTTTCTCAATAGAACAACAGCAGCTCAGCAACTAAGAGAAAGAATGGACAAATAGAACTACATAAAATTAAAAAGCTTCTGCACAACAAAAGAAATGGTCTCTAAACTGAAGAGACCACCCAGAGTGGGAGAAAATATTTGCTTGCTATACATGAGACAAAGGACTGATAACCAGAATATACAGGGAACTCAACAAACTAAACTCTTCCAAAATCAATGAACTAATAAAGAAATGGGCAACTGAACTAAGCAGAACATTCTCAGAAGAAGAAATTCAAATGGCCAAAAAACACATGAAGAAATGCTCACCATCTCTGGCCAAAAGGAAATGCAAATCAAAATCACAATAAGATTCCACCTCACCCCTGTTAGAATAGCCATCATTAAAAACACCACCACCACCACCACCAGGTGTTAGTGGGGATGTGGGGAAAAAGGAACCCTTCCTGGTGGGAATGCAAGCTGGTGCAACCACTCTGGAAAAAAATTTGGAGGCTACTTAAAAAGCTGGACATCGATCTACCATTTGATCCAGCAATACCACTCTTGGGGATATACCCAAAAGAATGCGACACAGGTTACTCCAGAGGCACCTGCACACCCATGTTTATTGCGGCACTATTCACAATAGCCAAGTTATAGAAACAGCCAAGATGCCCCAGCACTGACGAATGGATTAAGAAAATGTGGTACTTGTACACAATGGAATTTTACTCAGCCATGAAGAAAAATGAAATCTTATCATTCGCAAATAAATGGATGGAACTGGAGAACATCATCCTGAAAGAGGTTAGCCAGGCTCAGAAGACCAAAAATCGTATGTTCTCCCTCATATGCAGACTTTAGATCTAGGGCATAGGCAGTAGTGTTGTTGGACTTGGGTCACACGCTAAGGGGAGAGCACATATGGGAGGAATGGGGATGGGTAGCTCCTCTGCAGTGATGTGCCCACTGCAGAGGAGCTAATACAGTAACCTTTAAACGACAGAGGTCACTATGGGAAGGTGACCCGGAAGTAGTGAAGAGGCCAGGTAGAGATGAATCAATTTGGGTTGTAATACACTTGTGCATGGAAGCAATGCTAGGAATCTCTCTGTATAGCTACCCTTATCTCAACTAGCAAAAACGCTATGTCTTTCTTATTATTGCTAATGTCTACTCTTCAACAAAATTGGAGAAAAGGGCAGAACAGGTTCTGCCTGGAAGCGAGGTGGGGTAGAGGAGAGATGGAGGGGGCTGGGAGTAGGGAGGAGAAATGACCTAAACAATGTATGCACATGTGAATAAATGAATAAAAAATGAAAAAAAATATGCTGCTTCTTTCCCTGGGTGTTGGTCATGCAAGTTCCATTCGTGAAATATATGAAGTCAATATTGGGGATAATGATAATGCACTGTTTATTTTTGAGGAAAAAAGCCCCCAAAAGAATTTTGAATAGTTTCACCATAAGAAATAATAAATGTTTGAGGAAATATGTTTACCCAGATTTGAATATTACACAATGAAACATCATAGACTAAATGTATGACAATTTTTATGTATCAATTTTAAAAGGGGTGGTGAAACAGGCTATCAGATAAATCAGCTCAAGGTCAAATGTCTTCTATAATGTGAGGCAGTCATGTTTCTACCTGTTTAGGATCTGGCAACAAAACATCTGGATTCAAAAGGTTACACCTGACTAAATAACAGCATTAGAAAAACTCTATCCATTAAACACTAGATTCCCCTTTTCCTTACCTTCTTCTTAGCCCTCAGAAACTACAATTCTACTTTCTATCTCTACAAATTTGAAACTCTAGGTACCTCGTGTAAGTGGGATCCTATGTACTTGTCCTTTTATAGCTGAGTTATTTCACTTAGTGTAATGTCTTCAAGGTTCATCCATGTTGTAGCATATATCAAAATTCACTTTCTTTTATCCAATTTTTTTGGCAGCACTGGGGTTTGAATTCAGGGCCCCATGCTTGCTAGACAGGCGCTCTACCACTTAAGCCACCCCACTAGCACTTTCTCTTTTTAAAGGCAGAGCAATATTCATTGTGTATGCACAGTCCATGGTACTTACCCATTAACCCAGTAATGGACGCTGGGGCTGCTCCCCCTGTTTGGCTACCGGGAATAATGCAACTGTGACGTGGGGTTAAAATATGTTCAAGTCTCTTTTCATTTCTTTTGGGCATACACTCAGAAATGCGATTGATGGATCGTATGGCAATTCTGTTGAATGTTCTGAGTAATTGCACATAGCATGTTGTTTTCCATGGTGGCTGAACCATGTTACTTTCCCACCAGAGGCCACAAAGGCTCCAACTTCCTATGTCCTTGCAACACTTGTTACATTTTGTTTTTAAACAATAGATATCCTAATGGGTGTGGTGTACTAACCCTTTGTAGTTTGGGTTTGCATTTCCCTATGGTTAGTGATGGTGAACAGCTTATCATGAACTCATTGGAATATTTCTCTAAGAAACACTCAAGTTCTTTACTCATTTTCTTGCCTCAGCTTTATTGAAATAAAAATGACAAATGAAAACTGAATGTGTGTGTGTGTGTGTGTGTGTGTGTGTGTGTTGTGAGACAGTGTCTTACTATGTAGACCTGTACTTTCTTATCTTTTTTAAAAATCTAGAATCTGCTTAAAAGAGAAAGCATGCATATTTGTCTTTCTGAGTCTGGCTTATTTTGCTTCCCATAATCTCCAGGTCCATTGATTTTTCTGTATCCAACATAATTTCTTTCTTCTTTATGGCTGAATAATACTCCATTGTGTATATGCACCACATTTTCTTTTTTGGTGCTGGGATCAAACTCAGGGCCTCCCGCATGTTAGGCAAGCGCTGTACCACTGAGCTACATCCCAGCCCTGCACCACATTTTCTTAATCCATTCATCAGTTGATGGACACCTGTGCTGATTCCATAGTTTAGCTATGTGAGCAGAGCTGCAGTAAACACGGGTGTGCTGGTGTCTCTGTTGTATGCTGACTTAGATTGCTTTGGTATATACCCAAGAGTGGAGTAGTACAATTATAAGGTGGCTGTTTTAGTTTTTGATGGACCTCCACACTGATTTCCAAAGTGACTGAACTAATTTACCTTTACATCAATTCTGTATAAAGATTCATTTCCTCCTTTGCATTCTCACCAGCATTTGTTGTTATTTTCTTTCTTTCTTTTGGCACTACTGGGATTTGAACTCAGGGCCTCACGTTTGCTAGGCAGGTGCTCTACCACTTGAGCCACTCCGCTTGTTGTTATTTTCTTGATAATACAGGCTAATTTTTTCATCCATCTACACCTACATCATTATTAATAGGTAAGAACTTACTCTTGTCATTTTGACAAAACTTTTCTGGTCATTTTCCACACCCTCTGTTTCTTTTTTCTCTTTTTGTTTAATTTTACGGTTTTGTGGTTTTCCATATTGACAAGTTTTGATTCTTTTTTTCTTTGTCTTTTATGTGTCTGCTCTCTAAGGAGTATTACACTTTGTTTTTTTTGTGGTATTGGATTTGAACTCAGCCTCCTGCTTGTAGGCAAGCTCTCTGCTACTTAAGCTCCAGCCCAGCTCTTTTTGCTTTAGTTTACTTTCTAGATAGGGCTTATCAAGACCACCCCTGGACCATGGTCCTCCTACCTCTGCCTCCTTAATATCTGGGATTACAGTTATGTACCACTACTCCTAGCTTGTTTTCGAGATAGAGTCTTGTTAACTTTTTTTTTGTCTGGGCTGGCCTCAAACTGTAATCCTGTTATCTTGCTTGAGTCATTCATTCATTCTAATTTATCTCACACAAAATGCCAATTGACTATAATTTGCCCATATTTCTGACTGGGAAGGCAGGCCTACCATGTCACGAGTGTTACTGGAGAATCTCCCACATTTACATGGAGTGCCTGGCTGAGATGTGTGACATAAGTGATCCTCCTGCTTCAGTGACCTTAGTATCTATCATCCCTTTCCTGGCCCATTTCCAAAACTAATAAAGGCAGGACAGTGCCTTGCTCCAGTGATCTCTTTTCAATCATCTGCAACATAGCCCTCCATTCTCTTGGGACATGTCAGTCATGAAGCCTTTCTTGATGACCACTGCAATCTTTCTGACCTTGTTTCAAAAGACTCCAGGTAACTCAAGCCTCTCTCAAAAGATCTAGGGTCTTTCATGTAGTGTTGGTGCCTTGATGACCTCTGAGACGATACCCACTCAGGTATGGTAGACAGCAGTTACAGCCTCTTCTGGCCTCAGACAGATTGTAGACACGATCCCCGAGATTCATCACACATCAAGATCTCCCCTGCTTCTTCTCTGCCAAGGCAAATGTAAGAGGTTTTTCTCCTGTTGTTGTTGACCTCACTAAGAAGTCAAAGCGTGGAGGCTCTGAGGACATGTTGCCATTGGAGCTTGATTCAAGGGTTGTCAAAGATTGGGTATAAGTTGGGGAGCTGAAGAAGGAATGAAGGGCAGTTTGATGTTGGATAGTGAGTTGTGGTGGGGAAGCTATAAGACCTCAGAGACAAAGTAATATTGTGAAAATGAGTGGGGATAAGCATGGGATGAGAAATTCTACTTACAGAATTGGGCTGGACTGATGTTTTGGTGAAGTCTGGAGAGGGAATGGTATTTTTTACTGATGGAGTTGGTGGCAAAGATGGGTAAAACAGAGTTGGGGTAGAGAGAGGTCTGTAGTTGGACTGTGTTTTGGATAGATGCTGTAAATTGAGGTTGAGTGGCTTTTATAGTGTTGTGTTGTGTTATTTTTGTAATGAGCCTTGGGTGGTTACCAGAAGATACAGGTTTTAATTGAAGTTAGGTGTTTGACTGAAGCAGATGTCTTAGTCTGGTCGGGTGCATGTGGGGTCTCTATCTGGCAGAGGTTGACTTAGCTTGGGTTTGGGGTTGTTTATGCTTGAGTAATTTTTTAGCAGGACTATTGGCATGGGGAGAGTATTAACCTTTTATCAGATTTGCAAATATTTTCCCCATTCTGTTGGTCACTTTTTCATTTCATTGAAGATTTCCTTTGCTGTGAGGTTTGAGGTTTTTAGATTGATGTAACCCTACTTGTCTATTTTTACTTTTGTTCCTTTACTTTTGAGGTCATATCCAATAAACTGTTGCCATAGCCAGACTCATGTTGCTTTTTCCCTATGTTTTTTTTCTAAGAATTTTATAGTTTTAAATCTTACATTTAAGCCTTCAATCTACTTTAAGTTGATTTTTATGTGTGGTGTAAGATAGGGATCTCATTCTTTTTTATGCACATATCCAGTTTCTCCAACACTATTCATGAAAAAGTCTCTTCATCTTCTAATGAATGAGTGCTCAAGATTTACTGTACAGCATAGATTCTGTAACTAACAATACTATATTATATATTTTTAAAATTGCTAAAAGAGTATATCTTCATATAAGATTTGAGAACCAAAAATAATAATTTAATAAGAAGGTGAGATAAGACTTTGGAGATGATGGACAGGTTTGTGGCGTGGACTATGGTGATGATGTCATTGGTGTATACTCATTTCCTAACTCTGCCCTGTATCAATTGTACCTCCATGAAGTGGAGGAAATTATTCAAAAGGAAATGTGGAGAATAAGCACTGGATGAAAATCATCTAGTATTATTTCCCAATTCTGAGGAAGTTTCTTGAGTGTGATTTTTCAGGGGGCACTGAAGAACAAAGACAAATGAAATCAGGGAACAGGAATGTTTTTGAAGTGTTTTTTGTCAAACTTTGGCATGTACAGAGGTATGGGAACTGTCTCAATCTGTCCTTATTAAAAAATAATCAGGTTGTTTCTTCTTTCTTGAGAGTGAGTTCGGAGTCATTATACATAGAATTTTCTTTTCCTCCTCTCCTTTCTCCTCTTCCAGCATTTTCTCTGTCTCCTTCCCATCTTCCTCTTACTTCATAGTCTCTTTCCCACTTATCTCTCACTTATTTCATCCCCTTTACTATGTGATGCTTGTTCTCATACTCAGTAAGTCTCATTTTCCATGTTGGAATAGGAGTCATAGGTGAGTTTGTAAAAAAAGAAGAAGATCACACTCTATGCTTCAAAGGTTGTACACAGTGTTGCTTCCTCACTAACTATTTGATACTTTTATCTGGCAAAATTTATGGGAAGGAACTGTTCTGGGCAACCTTTTCTACTAGGACAATCAAAGTCATGTTTCCTTCATCACCCCAAATATATGCACGTGAATGCCAAGATTCTGTCTTCTAAATTGATGTGTTCCTATTGTTGAGCTGAGCATTTTACATAGTGGAGATTTCAACAACTGATTATTAAATTACTATATAAGTGGCTTATGGCTAATAAATGTATATGAGTCAGAAGAGCTGTAGAAGTCAGATGGGGACAACTATGTTTGGATGTGCAGGTGCAGAAAAATAAGGCATCACATTGATTACAGGTAAAGTTGTTAGAAAGGGTCCAAAGCATTTAAAATTTTTTTTATTTCTGGTGTTTTAATTTGCTCTGAAAACAATTCCAGTGGGCAATGTCTACAGTTGAGTGTGAAAAGGTCCTTCAGGATGGTGACTCTTGCCCAAGCAGGAGCCCATGAATAATTTCTGGGGAACCCTTACAAAGCCCCCTTGCTCTGGGTTCTCCTTAGATCTACTCCCTCCTTCACAAAATGGCTAACCTACCCCATTCCCACCTCCCACCTCAGGAGACTTGATTAAGACAGTTAAACATGAATTTGTACAGAGGATCGGAGACAATGCTGGGACTCAAAAGATCTCCTCCAGCTTTGATTGAAGATGGAGGGTTCATCAAAGGTGACGTTGATATGACGTGGGTATTGAAATTTGTGCCGATGCATGACAGTGTGGGATTAGAAAAGTTGTAGGAGTGAGAATCTGGACATGTCTACGACAGAATCTTATTTTTTAAATTATTTATTTAGTTTTTGAGCCACAGTAGTTAGAATCCTCTTGGGGCTTCCATGTGGAGAAAATAAGGAACAGACACCTTATGGTTCTCATTCCTGGATTCCTATATCCCTATCCATCCCTCTGGTGACTGCAGAGAGGAGATCTTGGGTACTCTGACTTCTACCTAGTGTGTTTGGAAGAAAGGGAAAATCCTCCTGGTCAGGGGCTGCCAAAAGAATGAAGGTCTGACTCTGGGGTGGCCCTGTAGATCAGAGAGAGAGAGAGAGAGAGAGAGAGAGAGAGAGAGAACGCCATAATGAGGATGAAGATTGAGATGGGGCACACAGTGGGACCATAATTAGGTGGAAAATGAGTGACCTGGAGCCATTTTTACCCTCTCCCTCTGATTAACCAGCAAGCTGGCTGCTGTTGTAGCAATTCAATGCCTTCTCTGAATTTCTGGCTCACTTCATCCATAAACCAGTACCCAGATGCTATGGGATGTCTGTCACTGAGGCATTTTTCTTTCCTTTATTTTCCCTTCTGTTCTCCATTTTCACCAAAACCTGGAAACTTTAACTTTTTCTTGACAAAAAATTGGCAAAGTTTTCCTTTTTTTTTCCTTGTAGGAAAATAACATCAGGCTTTCTTTGTCTCACTTTTGTTAATGCTGCTAATGAATTAATTTTTTTATTAACTGAGACCTCAGCAAAGTCAGAGCTGAGTTCATGAGCAGGCATAGAATGAGTGTTGATAGATGGGTGTGAATGATGGGAAAGTCCTTGAATGCTAGGCCAGGGATTTTGCACTGTCTGTTGAGAGCTGTAGAAGGCCCAATGCCTGCAGATGTGGTGCAGGAAATCCCATTATAGAGAAGGAATGTAAAAGAGCATTGATGTCATATAGACCAAACATCAAGTACAAGCTGTGGGAATATGCACCAGACAAAGTCTGTCTTTGAGCCTGGTGTCTTCATCTAAAGAATGGCGATTACAACAGGTTTTTGAGGGTTCAGTGGAATATCATCTGTCAAATGCCTGATAAATAGTAATGATACACCATACCATAAGTAAATAATCATGACTGTTCAGATTAGTTTCTTTCTAATAGATCTTTTGTCTTTGGGAGAACCATAAGTAACTAATACCATTTATAACTAATATTCATAAAATGCTGACTCTGTGTCAAGAGTTTTGTCACTGGGTATTTTTAGGCAAAGAACCTGCACACACATACACACACCTAGATGACTGATGCATAGCTGTCCAGTGGACTTCGGCTCATGGGGAAAGTGTGTGGCATGGGCCTAAACACTGCACACAGCTGTATATACTCAGTTCATGTGTGAATAATGGGCCTGTGAATAAGATGAGCTGCACACATGCGCCTGTGTGTGCCAGTGTGGTGCTCACGTGTGTACTGTACCTAGTTCCTTGGGGCCAATGTACAAAGACAGACATGTGTGCAGTATGTTTGTGCCTATGTTTCACAGCATAAAGGCATGTGTGCACATGAGCTCCAGTGTGTGTGTCCTGGCTGTCTATGGTGAGCTGAGCATCTGTAGAGGTGCTTGAGAACATGTTTAGCATGCGCTCACGGTGGCAGTCTTTGGATCTCAGGACCTTCAGGAAAGACATCCATACCAACAGCACCATCTAATGTTTATTTTCTTATGAGATGCAAGATGCCTTTCTGAGCAAACCATAAATGCTAGTTTAGGCATTGCAAAAACTTTCAGTGTAGCTCTGTTATATTTATGCCTATTGCAAGGATGATGAAGTGGAGGCCTAGAAGGCTTAAAGAAGTTATGTAAGGATAGATCTGGCAAATGACAGAGCCCAGGTTTGAATCTGAGTGGTTTTGACCCCAGGTCCTGTGCTCTTAATATTCTTAGGGCTTGTTCTCTTTCAATCATTCTTCCTCATGTCTTTCCCAGGTGGCCTGTTCAGATCCCACAATGGCAAGAGCCAAGACACTTGGAACCCATGCAAGCTTTACAAAGGCATGTGCAGAAACACCTGCAGAGAACATGAAATTGAGTACTTTTACTGCCCCAACGACCAAAAGTGCTGCCTGAAACATTCTAAGAAAAAAAAGAGTTCTAACACTGTGAAGGAAGAATGCAGCTCCAAATGCAAAACGCACACTACAGACACTTCAAGCTCCTCTCAAACGTGAACATCACAAAAATCTCCCCCACTTGTAGTAATTCCTCCCACATTCTGACACTTTCCCCATAAAAATGCATTCCTTCTTGTGTGTGTGTCTTTCATCTGTGAGCAGTCATTGCTAGACAAGAGAGGTTAGGACCGGAACTGGAAAGCCATGCAGTATAGGAGAGGGAGCCAGCAAAGAAACAAATAGGACTCTGGGGTAGCTCAGTAGCTGTCAAAGAGGAAGAGAAAGGAGGAGCTCACTTTTGTGCTCCGCTTTGACTCTATTCTGGAGGTGCAGAGGGAAAGTGACAATTGGGTTGAATCTCAATGAGTCAGTGAATGTGTAGAAGTTATTAAGTCCACCCAGAGGTCTAGGACAAGGCAACGGGGCTGCCTCTGATGTCCATCGTTCATAGAACTAACCCTGTCTGCTTGGTATGATGCAAGGTACCCAGGAAGAACTAGAACCAGAACAACAGATGGAATTGAGGGGAGGAATTTGCTGGAAGAATTAGGGTAAATTTTTGTAAGTAGTAGAGCTATTGGAAGTGGAATAAATGGGATTATCAATGGGAGGTTGGAAGTTCCTTTTATTTTATTTTATTTTGATGGTGGTACTGAGGTTTGAACTCAGAGCCCCATTCTTGCCAAGCAGGCACTCTACCAATTGAGCCACTCCGCAGGTTGGAGGTTCTGAGGTTGGAAGACCATTTCTGGATGATGATGTCTATGGTGGTAGAGAGAGGTGCTGCACTGAAGCTGGACACTGAATGTCCCTTCCCCAAACTGAACTTAGTTCACATCTAACATTTGGCATGCTGTGAAAGTTTTATTGTGTTACAGATACTCCTTTTCTGTGGCTCATTTTTTGTTTCTTCTCTTCTTTGTGTACAAACTTCTGGACCTAGTGTTGCTGACTAAGTTCTCCAAGTTTCAGGTTCCCAGTCTCACCTCAACTAAGAGAAATAATGGCTTTTGTGCTTGCCATTCCAATGCCTTTCTTGTTGAAAAATCTAAGAATTTTTTTATGCTTTACCATTTCCTTTACTTCTAGCTAACACTCCATAGTATTTCTCAGTCTTTCCTTAAAGCCATTGTTTGCCTTGACTTCTGATTTCTGTGTGCTCTTTCTTAATCATTTTTGGAGTTTCTTCTGCCATCTTCCCCATAATATTTATTATTCCTCTCCTTTTGTCTCTCTTTTTCTATCTCTGTCTTTCTCATCTTTCCATACATACTCTAACTGTATTGCTCATTAGACAAATGACAATTCCAGTCAAACCCAACGGACCAAGAGGCATACACTAAATGACCAAAGTATGTAGTTGGACCTTTGTTTGTTTGGTTTTTTGAGACAGGGTCTCAACCTGTCTACCCAGGTTGGCTTAGAACTTGCTGTTGCCCAGCTCAGCCTCGAACTTGCGATCTTCCTGCCACAGCATCCTAATTGCTGGGATTACAGATGTGAATCACAGTGAATCACTTGGCTGAGGAGTCTAGTGGGAAAGTTTGATGATGTTTCTATCTTTGGGATTCACTGGCATTCAGACACATTTGTCAAACAGAGAGCAAGGACTTGGCAGGAACCGGGTTTCAGGTCAGGATACAGAAATTTGCTGGCATTTGGATAAGTGAAATTTAATATTTCAAGAAAGTATTGATCCTGGGTTCTGCATTGTGGTTGGTTGAGATATTCTACTTACCTTTTACTCTAGCAGTATTTGCAGAGGAAAAACGACTCTAGAATTCCAGGTTTAAAGCACACATTTCTATTTCCCTCATTGCCATACGCCTTAGACAAAGACATGAATATAGAATCTGAAGGGCTTGCCCCTTTCCATCACTGCTCAGTGCTTTGAAACTTGGGCAAATTCTGTATTTGTACATTCAACCCAGAATCCATCTCTGGGGTCCAGACTTGTGTGTCGAGTTCCATATTGGTTATTTTCTCTTGGATATCCCAGCTATCTCAGACTTGTCCAAATCCGTTCACCTGGCCTTTTCCTTGTATTCCCTTCCCCAGTCACTAGAATGTATAATTGTCCTGTTGCTTACTGCAGAAACTTGGAAGTCATTCTTCTTTCCCTGATTCATCTAAAGTCATCATGTCAAAACTTTTAGTCCCAACTCTGAAATTGATCTTAATTTGATGACAAAATTGGCATTTGCATAATAAAAAGTACTACTATGCTTAATGTGGAAAATATTGACTGATATCCACCAGAAGAAAAGAAGCTCCCATGTTTTATTTCCTCAAATGAACACATTTCCTCCTTATTTATTTATTATCATTTTTTGCAGTACTGGGCTTTGCACTTAGAACCTTGCACTTGCTAAGCAGGTGTTCTACTCTTGAGTCACACCTCCAGCCCTATATGTTTATTCCTTCCTTTAGGTATCTTCAATGTCATAGTCTATGTTGTTCTTCTGAACAAGTAATGTGAGTCCCTGTCTCTTATTTCTATTTATTTATTTTGATTGTTGAGAATAGTCTTGTTATGTATCCTAGGCTGGTCTTGAACTCTCAATCCTTCTGCCTCAGCCTCTCAATGGCTGGGATTACAGGTGTGTGGACCTCACCTGAATCTCTTTGTTTTAAATTATGTTTGTCTATATTCATTTGATGTTATTAGTACTTCCATCAAATAGTGTCTTTGAAGTTTGCTAGCCTATGTGAGTCACCCTTGTCTCCCCTGTGGAGCATTGGTTTCTCTCATTTTTCCTTTCTCCGCTGCTCATCCACACATAATTTTCAGGTATTGGGGTATGTTACATTATAAAATAAAGTCTATAGTTTTGGTGTGGTAAATGGTGGAGGTGAAGTGGTTTCCAGTCCCCAGCTGATGGGCATGTTATTCTTGCCTTCCTGAGAAACAGTTACAGTGAATGGCAAACACTTTAAGTTTGTTTTGCATGTAATTTTTCTTTTCCTCTTTTTAATTTTTTATTTTATTCATATGTGCATACAATGTTTGGGTCATTTCTCCCCCCTTCCCCCACCCCTCCTTCTCCCCCCAACCCCTCTCTACCCGGCAGAAACTATTTTGCCCTTATCTCTAATTTTGTTGAAGAGAGAGTATAAGCAATACAGGAAGGAACAAGTGTTTTTGCTGGTTGAGATAAGGATAGCTATACAGGGAGTTGACTCACATTAATTTCCTGTGCATGTGTGTTACCTTCTAGGTTAATTCTTTTTGATCTAACCTTTTCTCTAGTTCCTGGTCCCCTTCTCCTATTGGCCTCTGTTGTTTAAAGTATCTGCTTTAGTTTCTCTGCGTTGAGGGCAACAAATGCTATCTAGTTTTTTAGGTGTCTTGCCTATCCTCATATCTCCCTTGTGTGCTCTTGCTTTATCATGTGATCAAAGTCCAATCCCCTTGTTGTGTTTGCCCTTGATCTAATGTCCTCATATAAGGGAGAACATACGATTTTTGGTCTTTTGGGCCAGGCTAACTTCACTCAGAATGATGTTCTCCAATTCCATCCATTTACCAGCGAGTGATAACATTTCGTTCTTCTTCATGGCTGCATAAAATTCCATTGTGTATAGATACCACATTTTCTTAATCCATTCGTCAGTGGTGGGGCATCCTGGCTGTTTCCATAACTTGGCTATTGTGAATAGTGCTGCAATAAACATGGGTGTGCAGGTGCCTCTGGAGTAACCTGTGTCACAGTCTTTTGGGTATATCCCCAAGAGTGGTATTGCTGGATCATTATGGTAGATCAATGTTTAGCTTTTTAAGTAGCCTCCAAATTTTTTTCCAGAGTGGTTGTACTAGTTTACATTCCCACCAGCAGTATAAGAGGGTTCCTTTTTCCCCACATCCTCGCCAACACCTGTTGTTAGTGGTGTTGCTAATGATGGCTATTCTAACAGGGGTGAGGTGGAATCTTAGTGTGGTTTTAATTTGCATTTCCTTTATTGCTAGAGATGGTGAGCATTTTTTCATGTGTTTTTGGCCATTTGAATTTCTTCTTTTGAGAAAGTTCTGTTTAGTTCACTTGCCCATTTCTTTATTGGTTCATTAGTTTGGGGAGAATTTAGTTTTTTAAGTTCCCTATATATTCTGGTTATCAGTCCTTTGTCTGATGTGTAGCCGGCAAATATTTTCTACCACTCTGTGGGTGTTCTCTTCAGTTTAGAGACCATTTCTTTTGTTGAGCAGAAGCTTTTTAGTTTTATGAAGTCCCATTTATCTATGCTATCTCTTAGTTGCTGAGCTGCTGGGGTTTCGTTGAGAAAGTTCTTACCTATACCTACTAACTCCAGAGTATTTCCTACTCTTTCCTGTACCAACTCTAGAGTTTGGGGTCTGATATTAAGATCCTTGATCCATTTTGAGTTAATATTGGTATGGGTTGATATACATGGATCTAGTTTCAGTTTTTTACAGACTGCTAACCAGTTTTCCCAGCAGTTTTTGTTGAAGAGGCTGTCTTTTCTCCATTGTATATTTTTAGATCCTTTGTCAAAGACAAGTTGGTTATAGTTGTGTGGCTTCATATCTGGTTCCTCTACTCTGTTCCACTGGTCTTCATGTCTGTTTTTGTGCCAGTACCATCCTGTTTTTATTGCTATTGCTTTGTAATATAGTTGAAGTCAGGTATTGTGATACCTCCTGCATTGTTCTTTTGACTGAGTATTGCCTTGGCTATTCGTGGCCTCTTGTGTTTCCATATAAATTTAACAGGTAGATTTTTCAATCTCTTTAATGAATGTCATTGGAATTTTGATGTGAATTTAATTAAACATGTAGATTGCTATAGACATTTTCACTATGTTGATTCTACCAATCCATGAGCATGGGAGATCTCTCCACTTTCTATAGTCTTCCTCAATCTCTTTCTTCAGAAGTTTATAGTTTTCCTTGTAGAGGTCGTTCACATACTTTATTAAGTTTACACCTAGGTACTTGATTTTTTTTGAGGCTATGTAAATGGAATTGTATTCAAATATTCTTTCTCAGTTTGTTCACTATTAGTGTATAGAAATGCTAATGATTTTTCTATGTTGATTTT